AGACTGTATGACTGTAACATGTTGCTGTATCCCTATGATTTATATTGACTGTTTTCTAGTATGATTCGATTGCTTATTTGTACCCTATGACTATCATTAAGTGTTGTACCTTATGATTCTTAACGAATGGATCTTTTCTTTTTATGTACACTGAGAGCATATGCACCAAAGACAAATTCCTTGTGTGTCCAATTACACTTGGCCAATAAAGAATTCTATTCTATTCTATTCTATTCTATTCTATTCTATTCTATTCTATTCTATTCTATTCTATTCTATTCTATTCTATTCTATTCTATTTTTAATAGCAATAAGATCTCTGATCCCAAATATCTCACAATGATCAGTTAAATAGAATAAATTGATAGTGTTACCATTGCATCAACAGATATGGTGAAATATTCTGCACTAATTTGAGAAGGATATTTACCTTCCATGGCTGTTCTTTAAGAATTTTCAATGTCATCCTCGACCTTTGCTTGTTTATGGATGAATACAGGGCATGCAAGGCATGTGCAACAGCATAGACAGCATTGTAGACACAGTAACTATGGACAGTCATCCTTGTTTCAAAAACAGTCATGGGAAGAGACTCCAGTTTCTCCTCCCCAGTGCAGATATTCTGGTCCACGGACTTAGATGAAGAGCTTGGAGTCAGGCAATCAAATAGTTGCAGCCAGATCTCTTTTAAGAAACCATCTGCTTTATGCAAAAGAGGGTTCCTCATCTGAACAAATTCCTGAAATCCTGACACTTCCTTAGATTGGATTGCCAGGGATATAGCGCCATGGAGGAAATCTGTGCTCCAGTTTCTTTGAAACAGGATGGATGTAAAGTCCACATCTGCTGTCATGATCCAGACTTTTGCTTTTTTTCCTGCCTCATCATAAAATTCTGAAACTTCAAGCAAACCCCATAAAGATGTTATGCTGTGAAATTCTCCATGAAAGATCACCGCATTAGCTCTGCTGTTCCAGGCGAGGTTTAATTTAGCACGGGATGTTTCCACAAGCGCACCCAAATTACTGAACAGCCCCCCAGCTAAAGTTTCAATGAAATCAAAACAGATGCCATGCTTTGAAAGGAAAGGTACTATCTTCCGGAGCAATAATTCTGTCTGATTGCCCATGCCAATATAAAATATGCCCATCCATGTCCACTTGAAATAAAGCAACAGCTGGAGAATCCCATAATATTGATAATCTGCATTGGGGAACATCCAATGGAAGGAAATTGCTTGATTCTGAGTTTTCATCTCTGGAGCAGAAGAATAGGCAAGCTAAGAGACGGTAGCAAAAAATGAAGAGAAGAAGGAGAAAAACAGAATAGAAGGGTTTGTCTTACAAGGAATTTAGATTTTTTTGTTTATTTGTTTGTTATTGCAGCAAAACCTGCATGATGTTGTGGTTTCTAAAACTATACTGCCTTCTTTTGACTAAAATCATATGGTCTGATACGAAAGGGAATTATTCCTTTTATGATCTCTTAAATGGAAGCCTCCCAAGATTAAAAATAAAATAGTAAAATATTTAATTAAAGTAACTATTAAGACAAAATATACTTGAGTGGAAATACTAATAGTAACCTTTATTGTCACTGCACAACATATGTACAATGAGATTGGTCGAGCTCCCTCAGTGCATCCCCCCCAACACAATACAACTCACAGTGAAGACAGAAAACCCCTAACCCAATAAATCATATTAACAAAAACCCAGTCCTATTGAATCAGTGTGAACATGTTACATGTTGCGCCCACCCTGCAAGTCCATCGTACTACGATGTTATGATGTTATTTCACATTCAGGAGTCTGACCGTCCACGGATAAAAACTGTTCTTCAGCCTGTTTGTGCGGCTGGCTAGGAGGGTAGGAGGGTAAAGTAGTAGTGAGCAGGGTGAGAGCCGTCCCTGAGAATTTTCCTCACTCTTCTAAGGCAGAGAGCCCGAGCGATCTCATCTAGTGGTATCAGGAGACAGCACACAATGTTTTGTGCTGTGCTCACCACCCTCTGTAATGTTTTTTTCTATCTGCAGCTGTCAAGCTGGCATGCCATACCGTGATGCAATAAGAGAGGACGCTTTCTATTGTGGACCGGTAAATACTGAATGTAACCTGAATTTCAGAAATCAATTCAATAAGTAAATATTTCCATATTTAACTGGTAACCTGGATTTCCATATCTTGGTTTATTTCACACTCTTCCCTGACTAATTTCAATTTTTGGTTTGTCCTTTTCATTCTGTCTAAATTACAATTCAAATTAGTAGCCAAATCAACATTCTGGAACCCAGCATCTTATGTTTCATATTTAACAAGCAAAGTAATTGTTACGGATTTCTTCAGGTTTTTTTTTCCTCTTCCGTGAACAAAAACTACCTGTGCAATCTTGTATTGACTCAGGATGGTTGCTATGTAAAAAAAATCGTTTGAGTTAGGTCCTCCAATGACTGCGACTAGGTTGTTCTGGAAATCACATTTATAGTTTGGGATGAACCTGTCTGGTGTGGAGAGGATTTTCATTGTTGCTTCATATGTCAGTTTTGGATTAAAATAGTTATTATAGATGTTGAAGCCCAGGGTGACATTGGTCAAGATCTGGGGATTTCCATTAATCTCTTTTACAGCAAATACCAGAGCCAAGATGTGCTGATAAGTCTGAGTTAGTAATCTGCAATACAATTTAAAAAATAATAAATACTTTCAATGCATATGCTTATAGAGAGACCCACTTGCAATTTTAATAACTTTGAATACATATACAGTGTATATAATACATGAACATATACAAATACGTTGGAAATATCTCCAGATATTTACTACCATTAATTTGGATGGTAACAGCTAAATATTAAAAAAATATATATCCAGAATTAATCCTGCTTCTACAAAATGTGTCTTATAAATTTTCTCTGCAAATCCATGGCAGAGCTAATGATTGCCCTTTTAAAATTGGTTCATATACAATATACCCCCCCCCAAATGTAATGTGAAGACAGTTGTCCTTTCTCTGAAAATATCAGTATCTTCAAGAATGAGGTTCTACAGATGACAAGCTCTTCTGTCTTCCTAAACTAAAAAAAGTGATTTTTCAGAAATAGGAAGAAATGCTTACTTAGGTTATATATAGCAATAGCATTTATTTATTTATTTTTATTTATTTTATTTGATTTCTATACAGCCCTACTCCCGAAGGACTCAGGGCGGTGCACAGCCAAACAATAAAATACATACATACAAAATTTAAAAGTGGAAATTAAAATCAAATTAAATAGTTTTGGCCCATTTAGACTTATATACCACTTCATAGTGCTTTTACAGCCCTCTCTAAGCGTTTACAGAGTCAGAATATTGCCCCCAACAATATGCGTCCTCATTTTACCAACCTTGGAAGGATGGAAGACTGAGTCAACCTTGAGCCAGTGAGATTTGAACTGCCGAATTGCAGCTAGCAGTCAGCTGAAGTAGCCTGTAGTGCTGCACTCTAACCACTGTGCCACCTCAACGCCACAAAACAATATATGTTTTGTTTTATCAGGTCATTGACAGAAATATCATCTGTTTATCATCTATCATCTATCTATATTCTATCTATCTATCTATCTATCTATCTATCTATCTATCTATCTATCTATCTATCTATCTCTAGCTAGCAAGCTAGCTAGCTAGCTCTATCTACCTATCATCTCTCTCTCTTTCTCTCTCTCTCTCTCTCTCTCTCTCTTTCTCTCTCTCTCTCTCCCATTCAAAATCCACCCCATCTCCCCCCCCATACACAAAAGTAAACAAACTATACCATCACCACTTCTACTATTAGCAGGACAGAGATACAACAGATGTGTAAAGTATCCAACTCCTTACATAAATGCAGCTGAGAGGTCTTCAAAGGGATGTCTTGTGAATGTGATCGTCTCCGAAACTACAAAGCTGTGAGAAATTATGCCACCAAGTATGGAGTCTCCTGGTTCATGGTATTTATGAAAAAATGGACTGGAGTCATCCAGGCTGCCTTTTGAAAAAGAAACTTTACAAATGCTCATAGGAAACACCCCTAAAACCAATATTCCAACTATAAGATATCCAAACATTCCTGCAGAAAATCTATTCACTTCGTCCATAACTGGTGGAATATTCTCCAATGGAACAGTCAGGATTTAGCTGGAAAGCTAAACAAGCTGAGAATAAACCAGCTTTTGAGCTAAATGTCCTCTGTACTCAAAGTTTCAAAGACCAAAGGGAAGATATCCTTTATTTTTAAAGTGGTGCCCACGTCCTGTTGTATTTTACAGGGAGTTGTCAAATGAAAAGGAGAAGTCAGACAAGATTATAAGAACAGAGCAGCTGATTACCTCACCAGAGTTCTTTCTGTTTCAAAACAGTGAGGAAATAATTCCCCCATCCCTGGTGTTACATAGTGATTTTTCAGCTTATTCCCATGGTGTAATTAGGCCATAGTTTGCAATGACTATTCCAAATGATGCCAGGGGAAAAGAGTGATCACAACAACCAAGTAACTCCTGAAGAATGTTTTTTTCCCCATAAAAGTTGCATTACGTTTTTCATAAAATTTGCATTATCTCATGAACTGTACATGAAAATAATCCCAAATAATCTACCCCGTGTCAATTCAGTGATGCGGTGGATGTGATGTACCAGTGCCTGGAGGCTGTGAGGGTTTGGATGGGAGTCAACAGGCTCAGACTTAACCCAGACAAGACCGAGTGGCTGTGGGTATTGCCTCCTAAAGACTATGTTGACTGTCCATCCTTGGTCCTGAGGGAGGAGAAATTGTCCCCCTCAGAACGGGTTCGCAATTTGGGTGTCCTCCTAGACTCACAGCTAAGATTAGAGCAACATTTCTGGTTTCAAATCTATATGTTGCTTTATTGTTTTTTGTAACCAAGTATGTATTTTAGTCCAATATTTTTTCGCCTTTGAGCATGTCCACCACATATAATAATATGAACCTGGTATCCAACCCCCTTCTCAAGCATGAGAACCTATACCATTTCAGACAAGTGGTTGGTCAATTTCCTCTTTTTATTAACTGCTCTCGTTTGTTAAGATCAGGTCTCACTATAATAATGTAACATTTTGGGAAAAAGACACAAGACAGGAGTCCAGCACTGGAGGCCAAGATGGAGAAAATCTCCACAGCCACTGTGTATTTCCCTTTGGTGCTAATGTACGCAGGGACAAATGATAACCACACACTGCAGAAAACCAGCATGCTGAATGTGATGGATTTGGTTTCCTGGAAAGTGTCTGGTAACTTCCTAGCTAGGAAAGCTACAACAAAACTGATAATAGCCAGGAAACCCATAAAAGACAAGACACTATAAAACATGACAACTGACCCCTCATTGCATTCGACAACAATTTCAGAAATGAAGGAGTGCTTATCCAAGTCTGGGAAAGGGGGAGACATTCCAAGCCACACAATACAAAGAAGACTTTGAATAAAAGAACAAGAAAGAACAATAGAAAGGGTTAATTTTTTCCCAACCCATGTCCTCATCCGTGATCCAGGCTTAGTGGCCATGAAAGCAAGAACTACGGTAATGGTTTTGGCCAGCATACAAGAAACAGCCACTGAGAAGATGATCCCAAAAGCAGTTTGTCGAAGGAGACAAGTGATCTTCATGGGTTGACCAATAAAAAGCAGAGAACAAAGGAAGGAGAGGAGGAGAGAGATGAGGAGGGTGTAGGAGAGGCTGCGGTTGTTGGCCTTAATGATAGGTGTGTTGTGGTTCTTCAGAAATACTCCTAGTACCCAAATGGTCATGAAAGAAAGGATAATGGCTACTGTCACCAAGCTGCTTCCTAATGTTTCTTCATAAAAGAGGTATGTTATATACTTGAAAAGGCAGAAATCCTGCTTATTGTTTGGATACTGATCTTCTGGGCAGCGAAAGCATTTGTCCATATCTGGAAAAACAAATATAAATTGAAAGTCAAGTGTTGGTTTGAGAATGTTTGTTTTATGTTTATGTTTTATTAAATTTATATACCACCCTACTCCTGAAGAACTCAGGGTGGTGAACAGGCACAGAATAAAATACATAAATACAAAAGTTAGAAACAATTTAAAACCAAATTAAATAATTTAGCCCAAGACAATTAAAAAACCCCATAATTTAAAATAAATTAAAATTTCAGTTTAAAAAATTAAAAAGAAAGGGGAGAAAATTAGGCCAGGCCAGCTTGTTGGAATAGGAGGGTCTTAAGAGCACGGCGGAAAGTGCGCAGATCCGGGATCCTCCGTATCTCCGGGGGGAGCTTGTTCCAGATAGTGGGTGCCCCCACAGAGAAGGCCCTCCCTCTGGGGGCTGCCAGTCCACACTGCTTGGCTGATGGCACCCGGAGGAGCCCCTCTCTGTGAGAGCATACCAGCCGGTGGGAGGCTGTTTGTAGTTATAGGTGGTCCCATAAGTAACCAGGTCCTAAGCCATGGAGCGCTCTAAAGGTGGTAACCAAAACCTTGAAGCGCACCCAGAAGACCACCCGGAGCCAGTGCAGCTCGCGCAGGAGAGGTGTCACACGGGAGCACCATGTTGCTCCCATAACCACCCGCGCAGCCACACTCTGCGCCAGTTGGAGCCTCCGGGTGCTCCTCAAGGGGAGCCCCATGTAGAGAGCATTACAATAGTCCAGGCGGGAGGTGACGAGGGCATGAGTGACTGTGTGTAGGGAGTCCCGATCCAGAAAGGGACGCAACTGGCGAATCAGGCAAACCTGATGAAAAATCCTCCTGGACACGGCTGTCAAGTGCTCTTCTAAAGACAGCCGTGAATCCAGGAAGACGCCCAAGTTGTGAGCTCTCTCTGTGGGGACCAGTGATTCACCCCCAATAGTCAGTGATGGCATCAACTGACTATATTGGGAGCACAGCCACTCGGTCTTGGATGGCTTGAGCCTGAGCCTGTTCCTCCCTATCCAGATCTGCACGGCCTCCAGACACCGGGACATCACTTCAAGGGCATTGTGGGGTGGTCCATGGTGGAGATGTACAGCTGAGTATCATCAGCATACTGGTGGTACTTCACCCCGAAACCATGGATGATCTTGCCCAGCGGCTTTACATAAATGTTGAACAGAAGGGGCGAGAGGACCGATCCTTGTGGCACCCCACATATGAGGGGCCTCAGGGTCGACCTCTGCCCCCCTGCCAACACAAACTGCAACCAGTCGGAGAGAAAGGAGGAGAACCACCGTAGTGCAGTGCCCCCCACCCCTAATGTTGATATAAAAGACATTTATTCTACCAGTAAATGGCAACATTTTCATTCTGAAAATGGAAAACCAAACAGAAAAATATAGAAAGACCTGTTGAAACTCAAAATATGTCATAAAAATACTGGATGGATAAAATTATATGAAGATGAATTTAATAAAAATCCAATGGAAAACCTAATAATGACTGTAAAAATGCTTAAAATAGAGTGAAAAGGATTAAAAGTGAACATCTCCCACAAATTATTAATTGCATGGCTTATGGCTGAAATATTTGACTAGCCAACATCTGACTAGACTAGACTAGACTAGACTAGACTAGACTAGACTAGACTAGACTAGACTAGACTAGACTAGACTAGAGCAGACCAGAACAGAACAGAACAGAACAGAACAGAACAGAACAGAACAGAACAGAATAGAATTCTTTATTGACCAAGTGTGATTGGACACACAAGGAATTTGTCTTGGTTAAGTCGGAGTACATAAAAGAAAAGATACATTCATCAAGAATCATAAGGTACAACACTTAATGATAATCATAGGGAAACAGTCAATATAAATCTTAAGGATACCAGCAACAAGGTTACAGTCATACAGTCATAAGTGGGAGGAGATGGGTGATAGGAATGATGAGAAGATTAATAGTAATGCAGACTTAGTAACTAGTTTGACAGTGTTGAAGGAATTAGCTTACATCTTGTTATAGTTGAATGGCTTAATGAAGTATTATATGAAGAGGATATCAACTGGTTAATAACTGGCAAAAGATATTATTTAGATTATTTAGGAGAAAATAACATTGTTCTAATAGAACAAAAAGGAAAGGAAAGGAAAAGCATAGGTACAAAATAACAACTTCTGATTGATGAAATTGTACTAGAGAATTGCAAAAGCCAAAGCCAATAATTTTCATATGGTCTGGATTGATTTTAAAAAGGTGCTTGATGATCAAATATTTGGAAACAATTATTTGTTATCATAGCTGGATGATAAAATATTTGGAAACCACTGCTATCAGTAAAAACATTAGAATTTTATAGAAAAAAATAATGAAGACAGTGGAAGATAGAATTGGTGGTTGGAAATGAAAAATATGGGCTTGTCAATATTAGGGGAGGCATCTTCCAGTGTAATGATCACCCTTACTATCATCCTTATTTCTCATTGTCAAGATCCCAATTTCAGTGATTTTGAAGCAAATGAATCTTGGCTATAGAACAGCAAACAATGCTAATGAAATCTGATATTATATGGATAGATTATCTGAATCTTTATGAAAACTCAGAAACTGAAATTCAGTCATTGACAAACACTATAAGAACTTTCAGCACAGATGTAGTAATAGGGTTTGGCCTAGAGAAATGTGCTACAGTCGCAATAAAGAAGGGCAAAACGGTGTACAGAAATGAAGTTGAAATGCCAAATTGCCAAACCATCAGAAACCATCATAATGAAACTTACAAGAACCTGGGCATTTTACATTTGGAAAACTTCAAGAATGCACAAGTACAAAATGTGATTAGTAAAAACTTACAAAGAGTAAGAAAAATGCTAAAAGCAAAACTGAATGGTGGAAACACTATCAAAATTGTCAGAGTGTTTATACAGCGTGACTACTATTATGAGACAACCCAGAAGCAAAACACAGCACACAGAGACTTTTATATTTAACAGTGGTTTATATACAAGACATATACAGGAATATACATGGTTGGCAAATACCTTACAAACAATCAAACTTCTTCTTAACTCTACATGGAGGACTCTGCTATGAATACCGGACACAAAGAGCGAGAATACGCCCCCTCCTGGCTGAAATTTATAAACATAAATTTTAAATCTTTTAAAATTTAAAAGACTTGTGTGGACCCTGTCAGAGTCTTAAAGAGGCTACACCAATGCTGATTCATTCTCATTGCATCAGCCTTACATTTCATCACTTTTACAGTTGCATTAGCCTTACATTGGCTGGTCAGCTTTAAATCATCAGTACCCTGACAAAAGTCATCAATACTGGGGCTATATACAGTATGTGATATGATACCACTACTGGAATTTTTAACTCGGAAAAGCTGAACTGGAGAGTTTGAATTGAAAATAAGAAAACTGATGACTATTCACTATGTAGTACATCCCTATAGTGAAGTTGATAGATTACACTTGCCTCATAGAAATAGAGGCAGATTTTTACTTCAGGTCAAATAAACTTTTGAAGAAGAAAAGCTTGCATGGGCTGATTATGTAAAAGACAGCCAAGAAGTGTACACATTGGAACTTACTAAACTACAGGAAACAAAAATGAAGATTGAAAAAATTTAATAAAAACATCACTGGAATACTGGCAAGGAAGAGCATTGTATGGTCAATTTCTGCAAAAGATCAAGAGGGCAGAGTGGATAAATATAAAACCTGACAAATGCTTACAATTGGAACATTTAAAAAAAGAAACTGAAGGCTGGATTTTGCCTGTGCAAGAGCAATCTATTTGAATTAATGCAATCAAGGCCAGGTATTTTTTTTTTAAAAAAAATCAAATGATTCAAAGTGCAAATTGTGCAAAGAAGCAGGAGAAACATTAGATTGTATACTCAGCTTGTGCAAGAAGATCATAAAAACTAAGTTATACATGCTTAGGAAATTGAGTTTGGTATCTCTAGAAAGAGTGCAGAGACTCTATAAAGAGTGCCAAGAAAAGCAACAAAGATGATTAGGGGACTGGAGGCTAAAACATATCAAGAACAGTTGCTGGAATTGGGTATGTCTAATTTGATGAAAAGAAAAACTAGGGGCTGCCACAAAGACGAGGGAGTCAAGCTATTCTCCAAAGCACCTGAGGGCAGAACAAGAAGCAATGGGTGGAAACTAAGGAGAGAAGCAACTTACAACTAAGGAGAAATTTCCTGACAGTTAGAACAATTAATCAGAGGAACAACTTGCCTCCAGAAGTTGTAAATGTTCCAATACTGGAAGTTTATAAGAAGAGATTGGAACCAATTGTTTGAAATGGTATAGGGTTTCCTGCCTAAGCAGGGGATTGGACTAGAAGACCTCCAAGGTCCCTTCCAACTCTGTTATTCTATTCTGTTCTGTCCTGTCCTGTTCTGTCCTGTCCTATCCTATCCTATCCTATCCTATCCTATCCTATCCTATCCTATCCTATCCTATCCTATCCTATCCTATCCTATCTTATTTAAATGAAGCAACACATCTAGTCTCTATCACAACGTCTCTTACCTGTCTGATTTGTGATCTCTCCTTGAGGACATGGAACACAGTTATAGCAGCAAAATGGTTTTCCTTCTATTTTGGCTTTTCTGTAACCTGGAGGGCACTTATCATTACACATGGAGAGAGGCGTTACCTACCCATGAAGGAAATAAAAATAGGTTCAGATATTGGGGGAAAAAATATTCAGATGGAAAAAATATCCACATTTCAACATTATGAGATTGTGATGCGAAAGATCATCTTCCCATCACCATAAATAATTCCAGGCCCATGATGGATAGAAATCTTTTGATCAGGCCTGACCACATCCTTTATGGTAGGTAAAAATACTCAATAGAAAATAATGAAATTTTGTTAACTTTATGTCAACTTCCTTAGAATATTGGGCAAAGTAATAAATCAATACAGACATGATGTGGAGTCTACCTGATTAAACCAAGTGGGCCAGATAAGGTCATATTTGCATAGAATCCAGGAGTATTTATGGTGATAGTCCCTGGCTCCTAATGGCACACGCCTCTGGCAATCACTTTTCCTTTTTTTTAATTGTTTGCTCCACTTACTTGATAAAAAAAGAACAGAGCCACAGCTGCGAATATCCCCATAAAGTGTACAGTTTGTGTCCCTCTACATAAATTATCAACCAATCTACCTATTGTTGCCCCCCATATATTACATGGATATTGAACCTATCCCTAGAACAGGGGTCAGCAACCTGCGGCTCTGGAGCCGCATGTGGCTCTTTCACCCCTCTTCTGCGGCTCCGTCACTCAAAATATGCATCACAACCGCCAATGTGCGACACCTGCAGGCATGCGATTTATTGAGCTTTTCAACTCCTGGTGGGCCAACCATGAATAAATCCAAGAAAAGAAAAGTTTCAGAAGAAAATAAAATGTTTAATTCAACTACATATGCTAGTTTTGTGGCCGCTCAAGAAATAGTCAGGCATGGGAAGGGTTTTGTGGCTCCCGGTGTTTTCTTTTCTGTGGGAAATGGCTCTTTTGAGTGTTTAAGGTTGCAGACCCCTGCCCTAGAAGGATTCAGATTCCCCAACAAATCCCATGATTGAACCAAATAGATATTTTACCAGAATAGCCATTTAAGGAAATGCAAATCAGACACATATTCTCATGTGTCTGATGTGCTTAGTTGTTGGACAATTTTTCTTTGCTATGACCAAAATAATTGAGAAAAAAAGAATGCAATTCTGGTAGATTTCCATGAACCTTCTTGGAAGATTGGTCAAAGTGATCAATCAATGTGGACATGATATGGATTTTACCTGATTAAACCAGGTGGGCCAGATGATTTCATCCTCTCTAATGGTCAGCAGGTGATGTGAGAGAGGGTCTGGATCTATGGTTCCCACCTTAACTCTACGGAAGGATTGGTTTGGGAAAGTGACCCAGTTAATGATATCAAATCTTCCTACAAATTCTCCATTTTCATCAAAGGAAATCTTGTCTCCGGCACTGTTATTGAACGAAACTCCTCTCAGGAAATGGTGAAGCTAGGCAGCAAGGAGGAAAAAGTTGGAAAGGAGATAAAAGCATGGGATGAAGTTTGATTGAAGATGCTTTGCAAAATGTCATCAATCTGATGAATGCCATCAAATAAGAAAACAGATATTCAGCACAATTATAGTTCTATAAAAATAAAGGTAAAGGTTCCCCTCACACATATGTGCTAGTCGTTCCCAGTTCTAGGGGATGGTGCTCATCTCCGTTTCAAAACCAAAGAGCCAGCACTGTCTGAAGACATCTCCTTGGTCATGTGGCCGGCATGACTAAATGCCAAAGGTGCACGGAATGCTGTTACCTTCCCACCAAAGGTGGTCCCTATTTTTCTACTTGCTTTTTTTATGTGCTTTCAAACTGCTAGGTTGGCAGAAGCTGGGACAAGTAACGGGAGCTCACCCCATTATGCGGCACTAGGGATTCAAACAACTGAACTACCAACCTTTCATTTTTTTTTATTGAAAAGTTTTATAAGAAATACAAACAATTTTCTCCCCCCACCCTTTCCCCCTCCCCACATAATAGAAAATATACATTTTCTTATACATAATAAATCCTACATATACATGTTTCCCTTAAAGAAAGCATTAAAATAAGACATTTTAATTACATTCGGAGTTGCTCTTCTTCTTTTTCTTCCCTCATTCCACAACAAACCTTCTTCTCCTTTCTTTCCCTTCCCTCCCTTCTCTTCTCTCCTACTTTCTCCTACCTCCTCTCCTACCTCATCCTACTTCCTTTTCCTTTCCCCCACTTCTCTCTTCTTTTCCCCCTTCTCACCTTCACTCCTACTCCTGTCCCCTTCCCTTCCTGCTCTCCTTTCTTCCATTCCTCTCCCTCCCTCTCCTCTTCCTACCCTCTCCTCCTCTCTCCTTTCTAACTTCTTTGCTGTGAAATATTCTCCTCTTTAGTATCTGAGCAACTCCTGTATTCTAATCGTAGATACTTTCTTCTGTTAAAACATTTCTCTATTCACCACTTTTTTCCCTTCCCAACCCTTATCCCCACCCCTCCCTGACTTCCCAGAGCAAAAACAGGGTATAGCATCTAACAAACATATGCTAAAATAGACTAATTAATTATAGAATTCAAAACTCCCATACGTTCTTTAACTCCCCTTGCTCCAATTCATCAACCTCCCTTTTATAAATTCTCACAACCAATTAAGTTAAATTCTTCCTGATTATAAAAAAAAAATTTTTCTTGATGAATAATCCAATACTTTAACAGTATTACCAACAGTAAATCATGAATAAATTCCATTTCCATACCCTCAAACATCATTCTTTTTGAACATTACTCCCTAATGAAATTCTGAATTTAACATTAATCCTCTTTCCTTCAGAAAAGTTGGGCATCTTGAAATCTTACATATTTTATCTCATATAACTTTTAAAATAATATAATCTTATGTTAAACATTCTAAAAATCTCTTAATATCATTAAAACACTTATTCACCAAATTTTCTTGATGAATAATCCAATACTTTAACAGTATTACAAACAGTGAATAAATTCCATTTCCATACCCTCAAACATCATTCTTTTTGAACATTACTCCCTAATGAAATTCTGAATTTAACATTAATCCTCTTTCCTTCAGAAAAAAATGGGCATCTTGAAATCTTACACATTTTATCTCATATATCTTTTAATATAATATAATCTTATGTTAAACATTCTAAAAATCTCTTAATACCATTAAAACACTGATTCACCAAATATAAATTTCAAAATCTACAGGAGGATATCCCTGAAAGCTTACACAATTTATCTCATATATCTTTTAAAATAATATAATCTTATGTTAAACATTTTAAAAATCTCTTAATACCATTAAAACACATATTTGCCAAACGCAAATTTCAAAATCTGCAGGAAGGTATCTTTCTTAAACTTCTGTTCTTCTCTTCTTTCTATATTTTTTCCAATCCTTTTTTTAATGAATTCTTTCAACAGCCCCCCCCCCAGTTTTATTTTTGAAAATTTTAAAATGTTGATTTGAGGTTGATGTTTCTGAAATATTCGCTCTCTTCTTGAGGTCACGTTTTCTAATTTGAAATCCCCATTTCGACTCTTCTTGCTTATACAATCATTCAGTCCATTCCTTTGTCCATACAGCCAAAATCTGTTGCCATAAAGATTATCAGCTTGCAATAAGAAGTCTATTTGTTGCTTTTCTATCAATTGAATGGAAACGTCTGCCAGAGCCTTTGTTTCAACTGTGCCAGCCTGCCTTTCAATCCTGACAGCCTCTTGCTCTTCCAAAAACAAACTCTTCTGAGTAATTTCCTGCTGCCTCTCAAACAACTGCTTATGTTTTCCCAAGCTGTTTTTTGAAAAAGCTCTTTCAATTGTGTCCAAGAGAGCAGAATTAAAGGAATCTAGAAGTTCTTGAAAAACCTGAACAGTCACAGCTTGAGAATTTGCTGATTCACCAGCCCTGATGTCAGCCATATTTCAGCCAGCTATCAGGACAACAATTCCAACTATTTTCCACACAGTATAAAAGCAAGCTTTTAATTAAAGTTAGTACCAAATTCTTTTCCTCAATACCAAATTCTTTTCCTGGCAGCTTCCACTTTAAAACTTTCTCTTAAGGTGTAATCCAGTAGCTGTATCACTGTGGCAAATGTTAACAAGCGTTAACAAGCACTTTCCCTTGTAGCTTCCTCCTCCCGCTCTCAGACGCCATTTTCTGCATTTTAAAATGGAGTTAAAGTATTACTTGCAATTTTTTCCTTTTTTTCTCCTGATTTGCTCTGTCTGCAATCAAAGTAAAGATGTTAAAAGTCCCCCCAGTTGTTTTCAGCAGATTTTGGTTGTGGCTTCTAGCTCCGCTTTAGCGGAGTCATCCCTGGTCCAGAGCAGCTTGACAGGCTTCAATAGGGAGCCCACACCCTTCGCGCCCCAGGATTTCTCCTGGCGCACTTGGGGGGCTCTACCTCCGCCTGTCGACTCTTCTCTCTCCCCTTTGCCTGGGGAGAGGGTTCCAAGCCTCCAGACAGCTGTTTTTCGGCTGTTCTGGGGCTTTTACGGAACCGGAGATCAGGCGCTCGTAAAAGAGCGTCTTCGAGGCTCGCGGAGCCAAACCGGAAGTCTGAACTACCAACCTTTCAATCGACAAGCTCAGCATCTTAGCCACTGAGCCATCACGTCCGATAGTACTAGAGTACTAGAATATTAAAGTATAATACTATATAGTAGTATAACAATAGCAGATTGCATCATCTTCTTATCTTCTTATCCTAAATGATTAATATGGTTTTGTAGGCTTAATCTCTGAGCAGATTTCCCACAGATTATGAAATATTTATTCCTTATGGGAAAAAATATGCCAATCTTCTACAAATATAATGTATAATGTCTGACTTAATATACGGAAAGCCTCCAAACCTTAAAGGACCTTAAAGCAAATGCTTCTTGGTGGAAATTATGTCAAAACCATAAGCAAAACGAGATCTGCAGTGAATATTATCAATTCTTACAAGGATGATGGAGACAGTCCAATAGGAAGAAAAGCTTCCAATGATCAAATAAAGGGAAATAATTCACATCCAGTTTGGAATAGACTTTTGTGGAAATGGCATCACATTGGCTGAGAACCGGAACCTAGGGCCATTGAAGAAATAAAAACAAAATTGCTAACCGAAAGCACCAAAGGGAAAACAAGTAACAATGGGTGGAAATTAAACCAAGGAGAAAAGTAATTGAGAACTAAGGAGAGTTTTCCTAATGGTGAGAACAATTAACCAGTGGAATGGTTTGCCTTTAGATGTTGTGAGTGCTCCATCAGTGGAGGCTTTTAAATAGAGACTGGACAGCAACTTGTCCAGAATGGTGAAGTGCAAGGGTGTCAAACTCAATTTCATTGTGGGCCGCATCCGAGTTGTGTGACCTCAGGGGTGGGGAGTGGGGTATGTGTGTGGCCAGGGTGGGCATGGCCAACTCAACATCACTCATGTCAGGAGTGCCTGTGGTGGCCCAATCGCTCTGCCAGTAAAAATGGGTTCCTGAGCTCCGTTTTCACTTGCAATGGCCTCTTGCAACCCTCTGCAGTGAAAACGGAGTTTGGGAGGGCTGAACGTGGTCCTCCCAAGCTCTGTTTTCGCTGGCAGAGGCACCGCGGGCTGGTCCTTTGATGTTTCCAGGGTGGCCCCACAGGCCAGATGTAAGCACCCCGCAGGCCGGATGAAGCCTCCGGGCCTTGAGTTTGATGCCCCTGGTATAATGTCTCTTTTCTTTCTTTCTTTCTTTCTTTCTTTCTTTCTTTCTTTCTTTCTTTCTTTCTTTCTTTCTTTCTTTCTTTCTTTCTTTCTTTCTTTTATTAGATTTATATACCGCCCTACTCCCGAAGGACTCAGGGCGGTGAACAGGCACAAAATAAAATACATAAATACAAAATTTAAGAACATAATTAAAACCAGATTAAATAATTTAGCCCGAGACAATTAAAAATCCCAATAATTTAAAACAAATTAAAATTTTGATTTAAAAGAATTTTAAAACAGGGGAGAAGATTAGGCCAGGCCGGCTTGCTGGAATAGGAGAGTCTTAAGACTCTCTCCTGCTTGAGGGTGTGAACTAGAAGACTTCAAAGATCCCTTCCAACTCTGTTATTCTATGTATGTTCAATACAGTATAGAGCAGCTCATCCCAATCTTTTTCTCTGACGATACGTTTGGATCACACATCTTCATATAAACACCCAACTTGAAGATAACATTGGTTCTTCTTCATGCAAATAAGATCTCTGATCCCAATCATCTCACAACGATCAGTGAAATAAAATAAACTGACAATGTTACTGTGGCATCAACAGATATGGTGAAATATCCTGCACTAATCTGATCAGGAGATTTACCTTCCATGACAGTTCTTTAAGAATTTTCAATGTCATCCTCGATCTTTGCTTGTCTATGGATGAATACAGGGCATTCAAAGCATGTGCCACAGCATAGACAGCGTTGTAGACACAGTAACTGTGGGCAGTCATCCTTGTTTCAAAAATGGTTGCAGGGAGAATCTCCAGCCTCTCCTCTCCAGTGCAGATATTCTGTTCCACTGACTCAGTGGGAAAGCTTGGAATCAGGCAATTAAAAAGCTGCTGCCAGATCTCTTTTAAGAAACCGTCTGCTTTATGCAAAAGAGGGTTTCTCATCTGAACAAATTTCTGAAATCCTGACACTTCCTTAGATTGAATTGCCAGGGATATAGTGCCATGCAGGAAATCTATGTCCCAGTTTTTTTGAATCATGATTGATGTAAAATCCACCTCTGCTGTCATGATCCAGACTTTTCCTTTTTTTCCTGCTGTGTCATAATATTCTGACATTTCAAGTAAACCCCATAAGGTTGCTATACTGTGAAATTCTCCATGAAATATTACTACATTAGCTCTGCTACTCAAGGCACAGTTTAAGTTAGTACGGAATGCTTCCAGAAGCACAGAGAACTCATCGATTATCCCACCCATTATCTTTTCAATGAAATCAAAACAGATGCCATGCTGTGAAAAAAAAGGTAATACTTTCCGGAGCAATAATTCTGCCTGACTGCCGATGCCAATATAAAATATGCCCATCCATGTCCACTTGAAATGTAGTAAGAGCTTAAGAATCCCATAATATTGATAATTAACATTTGGGAACATCCAATAGAAGGAAATGGCTTGGTTTTGTGCATTCATCTCTGGAGCAGAAGAATAGGCAAGCTAAGAGAAGGCAGTGATAAATAAAGAAGGAAAAAACAGGATAGGAGAAGATTTTTTTCTTGGACAGAAATTGATTTACATTTTTTGCTTGTTTGCTATTGCAGCAAACCCTTAGTCTGCCGAGATTTCTAGAACTACAGTATACTGCCTATTTTTAACTGAAATCATGTGGTCTGATACTAATGGAATTTCTGCTTTAATGAAGCCTCCCAATAATCAAAAAATAATAAAATATTTCAGGTTAAGGTATTAAGGTAAAATATAGTTCAGTGGAAATACTGAAGGTAACCTGGATTTCCAGATTTTGGTTTATTTCACATACTTCTCTTACTGGATCCCGGATCTGCGCACCTTCCGCCGTGCTCTTAAGACCCTCTTATTCCTGGCCTAATTTTTCTCCCCTTTTTTTTAAATTTTAAATTTTAAACTGAAATTTTAATTTGTTTTAAATTTATTGGGATTTTAATTGTCGTGGGCCAATATTATTTAATTTGGTTTTAAATTGTTTTTAACTTTTGTATTTCTGTATTTTATCTTGTGCCTGTTCACTGCCCTGAGTCCTTCGGGAGTAGGGCGGTATACAAATTTAATAAAACTAAACTAAACTAAAACTAAACTGTGTTCCATTGTTTGTTTACCCTTTTTATTGTATGTAATTCAGGGGTGAAATCTATTTACCTTCCTTACCGGTTCTGAAGCACACGTGTGCATGTGCAGAAAGTAAAAAAAACATTACATCCTGGTTAAAACTAGGAAGTAAGGATGCCCGGGAGGTGATTGCTACCGGATCGCCGAACCACAGGGAAAAATAGCTACCGGATCAGGCGATCTGGTCCGATCCGGGAGCATTTCACTCCTGATGTAATTAGGATTCACATTAGTAGCCAAATCAACATTCTGGAACCCAAAATCTTGTGTTTCATACAGAGCAGGATTTCACATACTGTAGCAACTGGTTCGCCCAACACCGGGAATGTGTGCTTTCGCCATCCACACATGCATGAGACATCAAACAACACAGCAATTCGCTAGTCCGCGCCATCCACACATGGATGTGGTGTCAAAAACACAGCAATATAGGATGGGATTGCACCCAGGCAGGTGGGCGGGGGCGGACCCACCTGCAGGTCACCACTACAGGTTCGCCCGAACTGATCTGAACCAGCTGAATACCACCTCTGATTTCATATGCAACAAGCAAGGGACTTGTGATGGATATTTCTGCTATTTCATAAACAGGAACTACCTGTGCAATCTTGTATTGACTCAGAATGGTTGCTCCGTCAAGAAAATCATTTGTGTTAGGTCCTCCAATGACTGCGACCAGATTGTTCTGGAAATCACATTTATAGTTTGGGATGAATCTGCCTGGTGTGGAGAGAATTTCCATTGTTGCTGCATATGTTGGTTTTGGATTAAAATTGTTGTTATAAATGTTGAAGCCCAGGGTGATATTGGTCAAGATCTGGGGATTTCCGTTAATCTCTTTTACAGCAAATACCAGAGCCAAGATATGTTGATAGGTCTGAGTTAGTAATCTGCAAGACAATTGAAAAATAATATCTTCAATGCATATGTTTACAGAGAGACCCAGTTGCAATTTTAATAATTCTGAACATGATCACTATCTGAGGTCCTATAAAATACATGGGATAAAATGTTTGCAGATATTAACTACCATTAATTTGGATGGTAACAACTAAATATTAGAAATATAAATTCACCGTTAATCCTACTTCTATAAAATTTGTCATACATTTTTCTCTGCAAATCCATGGTAGAACTAATGCTGGCCAGTTTGAAATCTCGATCATATTCAACATTCTCCCAAAAAACAAAACAAAATAAAAAATGTAATGTGAGGGTAGTTTCTTTGAAAGTATCAGTATCTCTAAGAATGAGGTTCTACAGATGACAAACCCTTCTGGTCTTTCTAAGCTAAAATAAATATGATTTTTCAAAAGTAGTCAGAAATGGTTACCTTGAGTTAAACAATTGCCAATTTGAGAATTCTTTTAAAATTCTTTTTGGTGTTATTAGATTATAAATGTATTGTTTTATTCAACTTCTACCCTCAAAACAATGCTATAGAGCACTGCACACCAGAACAACTAGACACAAGGGCAGTTTTTCCCGAATGCCATCACTCTGCTTAACAACTAATTCCCACAACACTGTCAAATAATTTACTAAGACTGTATTATTACTATTCTTCTTCTCTTCCTTACTAGCATCTATCTCTTCCCAGTTATTACTGTAACCATGTTGTTCGTATCTTTCAATTTGTATTGTTTTTATTTGTTTCCTAGTACAATTTGAAAGCTTATTAGTAACCTTGACAATCACTAAATTGTATTTTTTTTATTCTTGATGAATGTATTTTATTCTTCTTATGTACACTGAGAGCACATACACCTAAGACAAATTCCTTGTATGTCCAATCACACTTGGCCAATAAAGAATTCTATTCTATTCTATTCTGTTCTGTTCTGTTCTGTTCTGTTCTGTTCTGTTCTGGTCATTGACAGATGTATCATCTATCCATCATCTATCTATCTATCTATCATCTATCCATCCATCCATCCATCCATCCATCCATCCATCCATCCAAAAAACCCATCTCCTTTTCCCTCCCCACAAAACAGTAAGCAAACTGTATTGTCATCATTTCTGATTTCATCAGGACAGAGATACAACAGATATATCTTTTCAGCATCCAACTTCTTACATGAATTCAACAAAATAGTCTTCAAAAGGATATCTTTGGAACGTGATCTTCTCTGAAATTACAAAACTGTGAGACATTAAACCACCAAGTATGGAGTCCCCTAGTTCATGGTACTTCTGAAGAAATGGACTGAGGTCACTCCTAGTGTCTTTTGAAAAAGAAACTTTACAAATAGGAAACAGCCCTAATATCAACGTCCCGATGATAAGGTATCCAAATCTTCCTGTAAAAAACCTACTTGCTTCCCCCATGACTGATGGAATATTGTGCAATTGAACAATCAGGATTCAGTTGGGAAGCTAAAGTTGCTGGCAACAAAATTTAGGCTATTGAGCTACAACTCCTCTGTATGCATTATTTCAAACACCAAAGACAATGTTTTATGGGCTTAAAGTTCCAAGCTAGTCATGCCTTGTTGTATTTTACAGGGAAATGGCAAATATAAAGGAGGAGTCAATCAAGATTATAAGAGTAATGCAGATGATTACCTCACCAGAGCTCTTCCTGATTCAAAACAGTGAGGAAATATATATTTTTTTCCTTGTGGTGTTGCACAGTGATTTTTTAGCTTATTCCCATGGTGCAATTATAGGGCATGTATTGTAATGGCTATTCAAAGAGATGCCAGGGGAAAATAATGTTCATAACAGATGAGCAACTTTGGAATAATGTTTTTTAATAAGATTTGCACTAAGTTGAAACATGCATGTTCATGAGAAATTAAAAATAAGCTTAGAAATCCAAAATGACTCCTTTCTTCAGCACTCTCAACTGGATAAATTTTACAGAAACTGCCACAAAATCCAGAAACTTATGTGAATGTATCATATAAATGATGCAATCTGTAATTAAAATAAAGAAATTGAGATATTTATTGAACTTTGTGTGGCTTAACAAATCCCATTTATTTAGAATTTCTAGTATTGATCTGTAGTTGACTGGCTGGACACTAGATACTATGTGTGTGTATGTATGTATGTATGTATGTATGTATGTATGTGTGTGTGTGTGTGTGTATATATACATACACACACACACACACACACACCCCAAAATAAGCACTAGGGCTTATTTTCGGGGAAGCATAATTTCAGGGTGATCAGCCCAGCTGGGGCACCCCATCCCTGGTGCATGCACAAAAAGTGGCAGCAGCTGCAGCACACTGGCCCCTTTGTTAGTGCACTCTGGGACTGCACAGCCCATGCAGTGCAGATGAGTTGATTACTTGTCCAAGCAGCAGACAATGGCAGACAATGGCAGAGGTGCAGGGGAGAGGCACACAATCTGGATGCACCATGCAGGCCCCAGGAAAGCCAAGAGTCATTGGGCCTGAGTGGGCGGGCAACCACAGCAGGCTCATTTTCACGCAACAATGCAATCCAGATGTGCTGCATGGGTCACAAGCAAGCTCAAAGACGGTGGGATGGAGTGGATAGGCAGCTTGCCTGCAGCCCACATGGAGCATCAAGATCACCTGCCTTCCCCCTGCCTCTGCCTCCACCTGCTGCCAGTGCCTCCATGTGAAGATGAACCTCCCACGGCCAGCCACCTGCTATGGCCCACCATCTCTTAGCTTTCCCGTGTCCTGCGCGGTCCATCTGGATAGCGTGCCTCCCCCTGTCTCTGCTGCTTGGACAGGTAATCAACTCACCAGTGCTGTTCTTCAGACCTGAAGAAGCTTCTTGGATGAGAAGCAAACTGTTTTCAAAAGAAAAAAGAAAGAAAATCCAGTTGCCTCCTGAAAAAGCACTTTGGGGACATACATTTCCGGTATAAGTTTTCTTATATCCTGATTCTCAGATTAGTAGCCTCTCATATCTTGATTTTCTACTTCTCTTTGCTTTATTGGGATTGTTACATTTTCTCTCCAACAGAGGGAAAGTAGGCAATCTCTACAGTGCCTTGATGGGGTGAGGCGCATGAATAAAAATCAAGCGGGGGTGGGGATGGGAGGGTGGAGCTGCTTACCCTTGGACAGTTGCAGCCAGGCTTCTCATATCCTGACACCCGTCTCGCCTTGCTGACTCACTTCTTCTGCGGCCACTTGCCACCATTTGCATGGATCACCCATGTTTTGCCATCAGAGGCCTTCAGAAAATTGACATGTGTGTCAATCCAGAGTGCGTTTCTCGGTTGCAGAGGTCTTTCCTGAAAGCCTCTGGCAGCGAAACAGAGATCAGGGGTGACACACTTGAGTGGCAGCAAGCAGTGGTGAAATGTAAAATTTGTTACTACCAGTTCTGTGGGCATGGCTTGGTGGGAGGTAATGTGGCTGAGTGGGTGTGGTCAATTTTTTTTTTTACTTTTAAAAGCATTTTTTCTACAACCTCTTTGGCCGAAGAGGTTGTAAAAAATGATTTTAAAAGCCTCTGATGATCAGGCAACTCATCTGGGATCATCAGAGGCTTTTAAAAGCATTTTTTCTATAGCCTCTTCAGCCGAAGAAGTTGTAAAAAAAATGCTTTTAAAAGGCTCTGACTATCCCAGCTGAGTTGTCTGATCATCAGAGGCAAGTCTTTTTTTTACTTTTAAAAGCATTTTTTCAGCCGAAGAGGTTGTAGAAAAAATGTTTTTAAAAATTAAAAAAAAAAAGCCTCTGATGATCGCGCAGCTCAGCTGGGCATGGGGGGGGCAAGGATTTTTGCTACAGGTTCTCTGAAACACCCACCGCCATCGCTACTGGATTGGGCGATCCAGTCCAAATCGGGAGCATTTCACCCCTGGCGGCAAGTATCCACAGAAATAGGCTGGCAGTGGCCATATGGGCTCCTGCTGGACGAGGCTGTCAGTGCTGCAACCGTGAGATGAGATGGTGGAAGACATGTCCCAAAAATAAGACTGTGTGCCTCTTTTGGAGGCAAAAATATAAGAGCAGGTCTTATATCGGACATTAATACTGTATATCAGACATTAATACAATTGAACGAGCCCAGAGATATTCCATGAGAAGAGTCCTCCACTCCTCTACTCGAAACAGAATACCTTATGCCACCAGACTTGAAATTTTGGTCTTAGACAACTTTCTCTAAGTCCAAAAGCAGACTTTGCCGCTTTCGATCCAACCTAAGAACATAAAATTATCTGCTACAATGTCCTACCTGTCAATGACTATTTCAGCTTCAACCACAACAATACAGGAGCACACAATAGATACAAACTCAAGGTAAACCGTTCCAAACTCGATTGCAGAAAATATGACTTCAGTAACAGAGTGGCCAATGCCTGGAATGCACTACCTGACTCTGTAGTTTCTTCCTCAAACCCCCAAAACTTTAATCTTAGACTGTCTACTGTTGACCTGACCCCATTCCTAAGAGATCTGTAAAGGGAGTGCATAAGTGCACCAGCATGCCTACCATCCCTGTCCTAATATTCCTTTTTACTTACTCTTTTCATGTATTCAAATTATGTTTATACTTTTACCTGTTATCTTATATATGCTTGACAAATAAACTTATGATTATGATTATGATTAAAAACAACAATAAAGAAGAAAAAATTACTTAACTATCAAATACAGTAAGTCTTCCCCGCCGCCTTGAAAGAAGCAGTGGTGAGGCCTCTCCTCAAGAAGCCGTCCCTAGATCTGGCAATATTGGCCAACCATCGTCCTGTCTCCAACCTTCGCTTCCTGGCGAAGATTGTTGAGAGTGTGGTCGCGTGACAGTTTCCACAATTCTTGGAGGAAACATCCTATCTAGATCCGTTCCAGTCGGGTTTCAGGCCTGGACACAGCACGGAAACGGCATTGGTCGCGTTGGTTGATGATCTCTGGAGGGCTCGGGACAGGGGTTGTTCCTCTGTTCTGGTCCTGTTAGACCTCTCAGCGGCTTTTGATACCATCGACCATGGTATCATGCTGCACCGGTTGGAAGAGTTGGGGATGGGGGGCACCGTATTACGGTGGTTCTCCTCCTTTCTCTCCGACTGGTCGCAGTTCGTGTTGGCAGGGGGGCAGAGCTCGACCTCAAGGCCTCTTATATGTGGAGTGCCTCAGGGGTCG